TCGCCTGGTTTGTTCGGACCGCTAGGTCGAATTAGTTGGATCATCAACTAGTTTTTTATTAGTTTGGTCTAAAACAAAAAATTGGGTTTGATAAATAATCATTCAATATCAAATTTTGCTTGGTTTTAGAGGATTGAACAAAGTAAGTATTTTTTCTAAAATATTTTATGTTATTAAAATTTAATTTAATTTTTTTAAAAAAAATTGATTTGATTTGTTCAATAGTCAAACTATTTTTTACTAGATCAAATACCCCACTGGCAAGTCCAATCCTGTAATATCAAAAAAGCATAAAATCTAATGTCAAACTAACATGTTTACATGTCACTCTTTGAACCTCTCTCCTCTCTATGTGAACCCGCCTCTCTCTCTTAATCTATGTGAGTCTCTTTCTCTTAATGATCACTTGACATATACTCCCCACCCACCCCTATATGACCCGCCCCCTTCTCTCTCACACACACCCCCCATTATAAATGCCTTGTGCCCCTCCTCCTCATCTCTCTCCTCCTCTATCTCTCTCATGGCTAATACATAGGATTTCTTGAAATGAATACCTGAAATTTGGATTTGATGCATATGGTCCAGCACAAACTCCATTGCATAGAGAACCAACTATGAAATCAATGCATCATTCTCTTCCTCCCACCATATTTATGCCCAATATTTGGTCTCCCTCATCCATGCTTCTTCCCAAACTCTCATTTACGATTGTGGGCCCTCATGTTCACATTCTCTGAGATATACCAAATCATCTCTCTCTCTTGGGATTATGGGAAATATATATTTTTGAATTTTGACTTATATAACACTTAGTTCTCACCTTTAAAAAATTAGATGGTTTCCATTCAATCCCGTGCCATTCTTTTTTTCAAGTCCACAGAGAAGGAGATTTTGGAAATTTTATAATGGAGTGAAACATAGGGTGAAGAGCTTACATCTTCAAATTTGGGGTCCTAAAATTACTCCTAGATTGAGTTACTATAGGGAGTAAATGGACAGAGTGCTCCTTCGGGAGCATAAAATCTTTTTCCATGTATATTCTCTAGAAATTACTTTTCTCTCCCCGTTTCCATATTTCTCTATTTTTTAATGTTAAGAAATTACTTCTTTCTCTCTATACTTCTAAGTGCTACCACTTCATCACTCATCAACCGTTATTACAAATCTCTCTCTCTACCCGCCAATGCTGCTTTATTAGCTTTCTCTCTCTAAACAAATCTCTCGCCCATGCTGCTTTATTAGCTTTCCCTCAGTAAACAAATGTTATTCAATATGTTTGAGACCAAAGGTGGTCAAATGAAAACAAAAGAAATTTTTTTTTTTTTAATAAATAATCTTAATGGGACCACTCGCTTTATTTTTTACTCTTAAATATATCTGAATAAAAAAAAAGAAGAAAAAGTTTACATAAGGTTGAAGACCTAAACATGCGCACCTAAAAAATTCACCAAAATAAGTTATTTCGATACTAAAAAAACTCTCGAATCCAATCATCTCGGCCTTAAAATACATATAAATGAAAAAAAAAGAAAAGATGACTTCAAATATTGAAAACAATGTCTTGTAATCATTATTTAAACTATAAATTTTCACACTGTTTTTTGAAGCTTCAAATTTTACATTTAAAGATGAAAATGCATTTTGAGGCCATCATAAAGATTTTTCAATACTATAATGATATCTTTCAATACTATTTAAAGGTGCTTTTTATTTTGATTGTTTAGGGCGTCAACCTTATACAAACCACACCCTAAAAAAAAAGGTGTGGTCCGTATCAAGCTGAGGCCCTAAACAATCAAAACCAAGCACACCCTCAAATAATGTCAAAATATCTTGTTTTACCACTGGAAATCTTTGTAATGGCCCTAAAATCTTGAAAATTGACGGTCCAAAAAATTTATAGTTAGATGCACTATTTACAAGACTTGAAATTCATTTTTTGTCATATTCATAGATATTGAGGTCAAGATGATCGACTTCAACATTTTTGGACATCGAAGCAACCTCTTCTAGTAAATTTTTAAGGTGTGCCTTAATTTGATTGTTTAGGGCCTCACCCTCATATAAATTTTTTCCTAAAAAAATCCTCTATTTTTTCTAAAAAAATCCTCTATTTTTTAAAGCACATAGTTTATGTGAGTCGCCGTACACATATGTAGAAATCAGTCCTCTCTTAAATTTTTATTTTTGTGATGGATTTTGTACCAATATTTTACAAATATATAATCAACTTGGATATCATCAGCATGTAGAAAAATAAATTTTAATAAATAATAATACTTTTATAAAAAAATATTTAGGCCACTAATTTGAGGTTTTTTTTTTTTTTTTGAGGGACTACCCATACATCTGTGAAATGGACGTTTTATGCCTTGGGATACACAAGTGTAGAAGTACACCGCCCTGACGCATACAACAATTTTTCTTTTTTAAAAGTTCATGCATATTGGATGGTTGAGACCAGTAAACTAGCGGGTCTGGAACCGCACGATTCCACCGGTCGGGAACCGCACGAGTCCAAGACCTTGGCAATTTAGGAGAGAGAGGCCTAAAAACAGGCGAGCCACCCGATCCCATGGTCCCCTATGTTATTTTTATGAAAATTGACTGCATCAGGCCTAAGACTTTGGCAGCTGATTCTGTGATGAACTCGAGGTTAGGACTCGGGCGAGTTGGAACCTGAGTCTGACAATATCATTCGCTACTCTATTCACATGTGCGAGTTTGAATCCACTCAAAGCAATGAGCTTTGGAATAAAGGTAATTCTTGGATTACAATCCTCAAGAAATTTAATAATTAGTCATATTCTTTACTACAAGACTGATCCATTAATCTACAACCACTTAAAGGTGTTTTATTGGAACTTCTTGTTAGACTCGTTTTTTGTTGTTTCGGACAATATGGAATGAGATTACTTAGTTATATTTGGTACAAGGAGATCATGTAGTTGTCATGAAATCAAGTGGTTGAAAACTTGTCATGTCTCCTCGTGAAATCCAAATATATTTGTATAATTTGGATTGTTGTTGATGGTAAAACCTTAACTATCTAATTTCATACGTGACAGCTAGGATAATGGTAACCTTCTTGGACCTACCTATAGTAAATATTCTTAGTGTATTATACCATACACATTAACTTAAAACTAGAAAGAAATACCTTTTCTTCATATTTGCCATGCTTTGGAAATTCACTAAATAGATGGAACGTACATCATTGGGAAATGAGGTGAAAAAGAATAAAAATATTATAAAGATAAATAGTCCCTTTTATCTTTTTAAGGAGTAAGCCCCTTGAAGTTCAATGTCTTAGAAGATAAATAGTCCCTTGAAGTTTAATGTCTTAATATATGAAGGGTGCGGTTTCCATAAGGTTGCAACTTTAAACAATTTAATTAAGACACCTTAAAATTTTATCATAACATTTAATTTTGTTGTAAAAAATTATTAGTATTATCTTAAAATCTATTTTCATACCTAATTACAAAATTTTAAATTCCAAAAATAGTTAAAATTAAGTAGATCTATAAATATATGAAAATCTTGAAAATAGATGGTCTAGATAATGTGTTGCAAGATGCACTATTTTCATGACTTAAAACTTTTTTTTTTTTCATATTCATATATCTCGATGTTGAGATGATTGATTAGAGTGTTTTTTCAACATTAAAACAACATTTTCGATAGATTTTTGAGGTGCATATGTGATTCTACATTTTAAGGTTGCAACCTTAAATAAACTTTTCCAATATATGAAAATTACAGCTTATAAACTTATAAGTGGTAGCATCTAAACATTTTAACTTTCCATAAATGCCCAATAAAAAGTATTTTCATTATTTGCATTTTAGGCTGTAGATTAAATTTCCATACAAGGCTGCACTATACATCAAACATACCTTAGCTATGTTAGTGGTTGTGTATCCCACTGGGGGCTTATTGAAGAAAATGTTTCTTTTTTTTTGTGTGTCTCTTTGTCATTCATGTTTATCTTTATTAATGGGTTTTGTTAAGTGCACAACATTTTTTGACACTAAAATACTAATGCTTCTCTTTTTTGTTCAAGTTGCATACTACATCGGTTTTTGCTTATTTGCAATGAAAATAATAAAGAATTCAAAATAGATGATTTGGAAATTCAAAATAGATAGATTTGGAAATTCAAATTGTCAAAGGACAAATGCTGAATAAATAAATTTCCATTCAAACAAGACGAGATCCAGACTGTCTATCAAATGAAAATTGTTGAAGTTATCCACATTTTCCGGCCAATGACAATACCAGCCACAAAGAGCATGTTTGTTTCAGTAGGATAGTTGTTCTCTACAAAGAAAAACTTTCCCCTGTGAAAACTGTCCCATGGGAAAGCATTTCATTACCAAAATATTTATATACTCTTTCTCACATCCTTACTTTGCTCGAAAACGTTTGGATACTGATTCTCAAGGCTACGTCCGAAACCCTTTAACTTTAAATTACAATTTCATTTATGTAATTGTATCATTCTCCTTTGAGAGTCACATTAATTTTCTAAAAAGGAGTCACAACGGTCTTTTTGTGAGGACTTGGATGCATCTGTCTTTGACAGCAAAGATATGGGCAAAGTTCCACTGTCCTGCTCATCACTGCTAAAATTACAATTTCATTCCTGTAATTGTATCATTTTTCTTTTGAAGAGTCACATTAATCTTTAATTTTCTAGAAAAGAGTCACAATGGTCTTTTGGTGAGGAGTTGGATGCATCAGTCTTTGACAGCAAAGACATGGGCAAGGTTCCACTTTCCTGCTCATCACTGCTAAGTACTGATGGGAAAAACAAAGCATGGGCATAATAGCCATCTTCTAAAATTCAAAGAAAACCAAGGGTATCTCAAGAATAATAGAAAAAATCAAGTATCTGTCAGTCACCCATTCAAAGATCTGAGGGTACTATGGTCATTCTCAAAGAAAAAAAAATTAGGTGTGTGTATATAAATAGAGGAAGGCAAAGGATCCAAGGGCCTTTTGAGGGGAGTGGACCTCTCAGTTCTGAGAGCCAGCCAACCCCAGCCATTGCCCCTTCTTCTCTCCATACCCTCTCACAAACCCAGCAAATTTTCATATAATTCTCTCTCTAAAACTCCCTCTCTCTCTCAAATTGAGAACACACAATTAAATCAGATTTTTAGAGAGAATAAATCAGATTTTTAGAGAGAGGGGGAGAGAGGAGTCTCTCCCTTTTCTGTGTGAGTCTATGGCCATGGGTGATAGGATTGCTCCTGGTACTTACTTTCAGTACTCAAATTCAGGAGTCCAATCATCACCCTATAATACAATGAGACCTTCTTCTGCTTCTTTAGATCTAGAAAGGTCAGTCTAATTAATAAATAACTTTTATTTTTTTATTTATTTATTGTTAAGGAATTGATATATCCTTTGGTAGGTTTGATTTGATTCATGATCTTTTTGATTTGTATATAAATTGATGGATTGGAAATGATTTTCTAGTAGTTATTTATTTATTAATCTGTTCAGTAGATTGATGAATTTGGGCCATGATTTTCTGTTAATTTTTGTTTTTTATTGAATTTTGTATTTATGAATGGTTTCTTGCCCCATACTGGAATTTCTTATTATGGCATATGGGTCTTTTATTTGATGGTTGTGTGTGTTTGTGTATATATTTTTTTCCCCTTTTACACGCAATTCATTTCAATTGACTTTCATGGTTGGGTTCCTGCTTTTAGAGATTTGGGCTTTTTTGGCATGTATTTTTCTCATTTAGTTCCTGTAGTTGTGTTCCTCAGTTTGTAACATTTTTTTTTTAAAAAGTGATTTTCCTCTGTTGGTAACAAACTGTAATTAGCAAATCTATTTTGGGCACTCTAATTCTTATTTTTTTCCCATCATTTTTCTTGATGGTTTATTGTGTATGCATTTAACGTATTTGATTGTATTTTTTATATGGGTTTTGTGGATTGTGTTTGCTGCTGGGTGCATCAGTAGCAGATATTTGGCCGAGTTGTTGGCAGAGAGGCAAAAATTGGGGCCTTTTATGCAAGTTTTACCCATCTGCAGTCGCCTTCTTAATCAAGGTGAGTACTCCTAGATTCTTACTTAGTTTATGCCATTTGTTTTGATTGAATATTTTGTTTGATTTTGAGAACTAGGTGCATATGTCCTTGGGTACAAGATGCATGCCATGGTGTTTCATTGTGCTTTTATATGGAGGTTTTAAGATTGAGAGAACAGTGCATGTATCAAACTGAAGGCTTGCTTGAAAATTGGGACCATCTATTTCTATTTGAATTAAAATGTGTTACTGCCATTTATATAGAATGGGTGCTTAAGCTTATCTCCTCATTCTTTCTATGTTTGTACTTTACCTCTAGAGCGTATGGTCACAAGAAATGAGCAATAGTCCTATAGAGATATTACTTTTAACAGTAAAAAGAAGAAATAGAAAAGGAAAGCTTATTGGTGTGTGCATCAAACCCTTATTCCTAGGTATCTTGATAGTTTTTCTCTAGACTAATATGTTATTTTGCAAATAAAAATGATAATACTTTCTTTTGATGATTAATTTTGATTGATTTGGAAAATGGATTCCACTTTCTATTACAATAGCTTAGAATGGTTACAATGATAGATGAGGAACAGAGGAATGATAAAAGAGAGGTGGAGTGGAAATACCAATGAGAAAATTGAATGGAATGGAGTCAACAGTAATTGACAGTAAATACTTGTTGTCTATGAACCTCTTTGTTAGCAAGCAGCACTTTACATTTGAGTTGTTTTTTGTGGAAAGTGCTCATACCAATAGAACCAATTGCTATATTGATTGAACAACTACTACTCTTGGTTCTGGATTAAAAACTAAAATCCATTGGTAATCTGAATCTAGGGTATTTTAATTGAAGAGTCTAAATTTGTATTTCAACAAGAGAAAGCTTGCCACTACTTTTGAGAAGAATGAGATGTTATTTGGATTTAAGGTAGGGTGTGTTTCTGCAGCTGTGGTTTGCTCTTATCTTCATTCTTTTAGTAGCTAAGAAGCATATATATATATATATATATATTCAAAGTTGAATGGAGAATGCAATTCTCCTGGTTATTTTTCAACTTCTAAATGAAATCAAATAGCCAACATTTATATTGTACAAATATGAACCAACTTCATTCTCCTCTCTAATGTGAAAAGCAACTACTCGGTGTTACTCTGATTGACAATAAAATTCTTATAAAGAAGAATATTTTTTTTTCGACTTCTAAATGAAATCAAATAGCCAACATTTATATTGTACAAATATGAACCAACTTCATTCCCTTCTCTAATGTGATAGGCAACTACTAGGTGTTACTCTGATTGACAATAAAATTCTTATAAAGAAGAATATTTTTTTTTCGACTTCTAAATGAAATCAAATAGCCAACATTTATATTGTACAAATATGAACCAACTTCATTCCCTTCTCTAATGTGATAAGCAACTACTAGGTGTTACTTTGATTGACAATAAAATTCTTATAAAGAAGAATATTCATCAACACAAGGAAGTACAGAACACATAGTTATTCCAAATGAGAATGGGACTGTAGTGGCACAAATTATTCTGTTTGCATCCACATTTGCTAACCTGTTGGGTACTTTTTTTTGCCGCCTTCTAAATATAGTTAATATCCGTTGCCCAAAGGTTTGACAGTGAAGTCTTCAATGTTTGCAAGTATTCTCCTTAATCTCCAAGGAGTTTGGAAATTCCTCTTAAGTTATGTTATTAGGTCCAGGAAATCATACTCAAGGGTCCTTAGTTCCTCATAGCTACTTGATAAAACGCAAAGTTCCAGAAACCTCAAGTATACGTGATCACTTGTGAGATCCGAAGTAATTGTTATTCATATTTGTTTTTCGAAATGAACTATTATTCATATTTGTTGGGAATACAGCTGTTCAAAAACTCAGATATATGACTAATTGACTCTCTTGAGGCGACTGAGCTCAACATCACCTGAGTCTTAAACTACACTACCCAAACACGGATGTGGTTAAGCATGTCTGACCAGTGTTACACGGTACTCCGATTTTCGCTTTGTGTCGTGTAGACATGTGTCACTAGTTATACATGTGTCAACATGCTCAAACATGGATAAGCTACTTTTACTCAGATAAATGTGTCGAGAGTTCCTTGAATCCTAGGCCCTCACCTAGAGCCTAGATGTCCAGACCTTAGGGTTGGGAATGGGTTGGGTTAGGTCTGGGACGGCTTCGATCTGGACATGGGTCGGTTCAGGCCGGGTTGGCCCCCACCTGGACCTAACCTGGCTAGACTTGACCTGATAGGATCCAAGTTGGACCAGCCCAAAGCTAACCGAGTTGGATCAAGGTCACGTGGACCCTGACCTGACCCGTCAGGTCTAGTGCGTTCTGTCAGGTCTAGTGCGTTGGTCCAGACTCAGATCTGGTCGGGACGACACATTGGGTCCACATGTTGACCTAACTTGTTTCCCACCCCTACACAGACCTCCCCTGACTGCCTGGGTGTTGCCTTGGCCTTTTTTACAACCTTGTTTAGAGTGATTGAGTCCACCTTAGAAGGTCTTAACTTTGGAAGTACCATTTTAAAAATAAAAATTTAATAATTGTTCTAATCCATGTTTTTAAAATAAAATTTTTTGAGAGTTTTTAAAAATAAAAAATAATTAATAGGGGTGACAGTCACTGCCTTTGGGTGGGACACTTGTCTAATGCTCAGATCGTCAGACACACCACTTCTCTGCTCTTGGGACATGTCTAAATTTTCGGACACGTTTCGCCATATCTAATATGGTGAAATGCCAAAATTTTACCCCCTTTAGGATTTTCTGGTAACATAGATTCACATAAATTACAGGTGAGTCTGATAAGACGTGCTCAGTTTTTGTGGTAGTTTGCCGAACTTTGAATCTTATCTGAGTTCCACCGAGTGTATTGACCTCTTCTAGAATAATCCTTAAGATAATATTTGAGTGTTATGAAGTACTATTGCTGAGGGCTGATGTTCTTTTTGAAGCTGGATGGCATCTTATGATTAAACGTGCACAGTTAAGATGGGTGGCTGATGTTTCCTGTTCTAGCCAAATCATAAAACACAAAAGGGGAAGAAGGAAAATCCTTGTTGTGAAGGTCCTGGTCATCGTCTTTTGTTGGACATTGAAGATCCTATATATATATATATATATATATATATATATATA